CCTACAGGTGGATGGGGGCAAGGAGGGAGGCTGAGAGGTGCAGGGAAATATGGGGGCAGGAGGGAGGCTGAGGGGTGCAGGGAAATGTGGAGGCAGGAGGGAGGCTGAGGGATGCAGGGGAATATGGGGGCAGGAGGGAGGCTGAGGGATGCAAGGGAATGTGGAGGCAGGAGGGAGGCTGGGGGGGGTGCAGAGGACAGTGATGGGGGTAGGAGAAGAGGAGCCTAGGGGTTGTGGTGGGGAAGGAAAGTCCCCTCCAAGCAGCCAGGGGAAAGCAGCATTGACAACTCTCCTGAACTAATCGCAAGTCACAGGATTTTGGCATCTCCCCAAGAATTAGCAGCTAGGTTGGTGGAAGAATTCTTCTGGCGACCTAGTGCTGTCTACATGGGGACCTGGGTTGGTTTAAATTAGGCCACTCGGGTGGGGTGTGAAGTTTTCACACCCCTGACCAAGGTACTTAAACTGACCTGATTTTCTAGTGCAAACCAGGCCTGCCTTTGCAACCTGAAGCCATCACAGAGACTTTGGCAGAGGACTAGAGGGGAGTCAACACGTCAAAAGACAGATTCAAAAACCTGGTTTGACTTTTTAAGAAAAATCTTGTGATTTTAGAGTCAATCGCATGACGTTAGAGGGGCTGACTCGTGATTTTTGAGCTCACGCGGTTGGCAATACTTATGACTGGGACCCGGAGGTGCTACAACCATACAAAGAATAGAGTAACGGCATGAGGTGGAGCACAGAACTCAGCCACGGGGACATGTGGACCAAGGTAGCTGTGAGACACCTTTGTGCCCCCCTGAGCCTGGGCTGCTGGAGAGGCCTCTGATGTGACTTAGAAACCTCTGGGGGCCTGTCTATATTACAGCAGCCACCCTGGACTGAAGCATTGCCCAGAATCTGCATAGCGATGCATGCTGCAGCCCCAGCACATCCCCAGGCCACATCCCGGCCTGCCCCCTACTCCTGCCCTTGGAAGGCAGTACCCAGGAAACAGCCTTATAGCTGTTTTTCACGTGCCTGTGAGTATGTATCTACACTGCAATAAAAGACCCACAGTGGCTGGCCTGGGTTAGCTGACTCAGTCGTGTGGGCCTCGATCTGCAGGGCTATAAAACTGCAGTGCAGATTTCAGGCTCGGGCTGAGGGCCAGGCTCTGAGACCCCTTGCGAGGGGAGAGGGGCTCAGAGTCCTGGCTCCATTTTACAGATGGGGAGGTAAGTCACAGAGGGTATGTCTACGCTGCAGCTGGGAGTTAGCCTCTCAGCCTGGCTGGACAGACTCGCACTAGCTCCGTTCAAGTTTTGGCTGAAACATGCCAAAAAATTCAGACTGTGGCAGACACCCAGTATGGGAAATTTCAGGCCAAATGGTAAAAGTTTGGCAAAATTATCAGCAATTGAAAATAGGGTCTTATAATGGAAAACGTCACGTAACCTTAATAATAGGTGGGGCCATAGGCACTGACTCCATGCGTACTCCGGGGCTGGAGGACCCACGGGAAAAAAATAGTGGGCACTCGGCACCCACTGGCGGGCCTTGCAGAGCAGCTCCTCCCCCTCCCCCCAGTGCCTCCCGCCCACCACAGATCAGCTGTCTGTTCAGCGGCAGGCAGGAGGTGCTGGGGGGAGGGAGAGGAGTGAGCGCAGGAAGAGGTGGAGCGAAGGCGGGGCACACTCAGGGGAGGGGGTGGAACAAGACAGGAAGAGTGGGGCGGGCGGAAAGAGGTGGAGTGGGGGTGGGAAGAGGCGGGGGGGCCTTGGGGAAAGGAGCAGAGTGGGGGCAGGGCCTGGGGGGGTGCACGGGTCGAGCACCCCCGGGGAAATGAGAAAGTCGGCGCCTGTGAGTGGTGCTACCAGTGCCACCTATAATTATATCTCTGAGTATAATATTATAATTTCCTATTTTCCCACGTTTTATGGTTAGTTCTTTAAGTTTTACCTGGACTTGTTTCCTGGCTTTTCAATGTTTTTAATTCCTGCCCAATTTAGTTACTGATACGTATTTATAGCCCCTAAGTATTACCTTAATGTTTTGTTGTCACGGAATAACAATAATACTTCCCCCTTTGATAGCACCTTTCATCCAAGAATCTCTAAGAGCTTTAAGAATATTACTTAAACGAACAAACGACTCAAACCTCCCAGCATCTCAGTGAGGCAGACATCATCCTACGCAGCATACGTGGGGTGAACCGAGACCTGGAGACATGCTCTTGGTCACCCAGCCAGTAAGTGGCAGAGCTGGGATTCCTGACTCCTGCTGGAACCTGTAGCCCAAACGTCGTCCATTGTTCATTTGGAGAAAATGTTCTACTGTCAATCAGTGCCAGAAACAAATCTGAGCTCCACACAATGGAAGGGATTTCCTGGCACTTCTCGGCAGACAGGTGGTCTGCATTGTAACAGCCTCTGTTTACCTGGCACTGTATGACGCCCAAGAAAACCAGGATATAACAGGCTATGGAGAATTAAATGTCTCTTCTTCCCAGGAGCTGGTCCCTCCAGGACATCAGGGGCCCAATCCAAAGCCTGCTGCAGTCAGTGAGAATTTTTACATTGGCCTCAACGGGTTTTGAATCAGGATTCAAAGGCAGAGAGGGGAAGCTTGTCTTGCTACTGCCCAAATTGCACCTGAGCTGTGGCTACCGCAAGGACTTCCCTCCGCAGGACTGTAAATCTAGCACTTTTCACCTGCAGGAAATTCACAGGAAAACATTAACCACATTTTTTAAGATCTCAGAGCAGGAAGATGGGAGCGAAAAACAGATTTTTGGGCCAGGCACGTTAAGAAGGGAGGCATTGCCAAGCTGTTCTCTAGGGGGCCTTGCCACCCCTGGATGTGTGCTCCCAACAGCCAGCGGGGCAGCAAGGTGAGCCGAATCTGCCATCCCCATTGGTGTCTGGGCTCAGACATGTTTTTGGTCAGCAGCCTCCCCTGCTGCCTGAGATCCTAGGGAAGGAGCGGACAGAAATCTGACTAACCCCGTCACGTGAGCAGCTTTCCTTCCTGAGCGCACAGAATGCGTCTGATGTTTTGTTAGCTCTGAAGCTCTCGGGGCTGAGTGACACGGCAGGCGCACGGGCGCCTGCAAAGGAGAGCAAATAACAACAGGGCAGGGCTGCGCTGGGCCAGGGAGCGTCTCT